ACATGTATAAGATAGATTGAAAGATTTGAAGAGTCAGAGAGTGAAGCAACATGATTGAAAACATAGAATATTCTCAACAAGGATTTTCTGCTGTCCTGCAGAAGGTTAAAGATTCCTCCACCAATAAAAACTGGCAGCCATGATAATGATATAAATGTTATATTGTTGAAGCCTCTGTTCAACCTCTTGTGTGTGTATATTATTCATATTCAATTATTCTTTATTTTATATGCTTGTTTTCCTTCAGACTGAGACTTCTGTTATGGCAAAAGACACAAGAGAAGATACCAAAGACATGGTGAGGACCTATATGGAAAATCCTAATGCCATTATTCTGTGTATACAAGGTATGGTCATTATATATATGGAAAACATTAGTACTGTGTGTATGTTACAGTGAGTTTTTTTACAAAATCCAATAATATTTTGAGATTTTGTAAAATCACAGGCAGTTTTTGTGATTTTGTAAAATCTCTGCAATTGTTACGAGTTCTTCAAAGTCACTCAAAATATTGCTACGTTTTTTGTAAAATTTCTTATTATTAAACGATATACATTTATGAGAAATCTATTTTTTTCTAGAATAGTTACAACATGTTTCAATTGTTAATTATGTGTTTACTAACACATCTGCACTTTTAGAATGTTTTTCCTTGTCCTAGCTAATGACATCGTGTTTTTCCATTATATTAATACATCAAATTTGCCAATTGTATTTCCCTCAATTTTAATTCATTTCAATGTTTAAAGTTTTTAAATCTCCTTTAACAGAGAGGCGAAAGATACCAAAGGGACACTCGGGACATTCAAACTCAAAAGTTGACAATAAACTGACATCGCCATGGCAAAAAACGAAAATAGACCAAAACACAAACAACAGTATACAAACACAACATAATAAACTAAAGACTGAGCAACAAAAACCCTACCAAATTATATCTTTTATAGTAATTGAGACAGACATTATTATTTGATTTTCAAACTTAAGGTATTTGCCCTGCCACTGCTGCACATAAATTCTATTGCTTTGGGTAATTAATCAAAAGTTACAGATATTGTAGGATTTTTCTTACATTTACAGCTGGGTCTTTAGATGCTGCTAGAAGTAATGTTACTGACATTGTGAGAGAGATAGATCCACAAGGAAAACGTACAATATTTGTTCTTACCAAGGCTGATATGGTGGAAAATAACTTAGTTAAGCCAGAAAGGGTAAGACACATGATTTTCATAATGACAGCCTTTGTTCAGATGTCAAACATAATATTTTTATTCTTTGTATTTACCATGTTTAGTTGTTTTGCTTCAAAATTATTTTGAACCATTGAGTATGATTATTTTGGACCATTGAGTATGATTATTTTGAACCATTGAGTATGATTATTTTGGACCATTGAGTATGATTATTTTGAACCATTGAGTATGATTATTTTGGGAAGCAAAAATATATACTGTGAGTCAATAACTTTCGTGGTTACCAATTTTTTTGGATTGAGAAAAAAATGCATTTTTTTAATACTTGATTAGGTTGGTTTCCCAATTTTTGCATTTGTTAAACATTTATATTTGTGGATTGCATTTACCAGTAAAATCCATGAAAATTAGTATCCAACGAGGGATAATGAATCCACAGTAGTATTCATGTTGATAATTAGTACCGTGTTTGACTTTTTGCAGATTAAACAAATACTGGCAGGACAATTGTTCCCTATGAATGCGTTGGCTTATTTTGCAGTAGTTACTGGAAAGGGTAAGTTTATTTTAAAATTATATTGAATTTATTTTAAAGCTATGATGTGTCCAAAAGAGCAATATAAAAATAAAAGATGTATTATTGCCAATAAGCAATCATCCACCAGAGACCAACTGATGTAGATGTTAGCAACTACAGGTCACAGTATTGCCTTCAACAATGAGCAAAACCCATACCTCATTGCAAGCTAAAAAGAAGACCAACATCCTGATTTATGTACAAAACAAGAAACAAAAAAACAGATATAACATACAGTAACAAAAGACAACCACAAGTTTTCTTTTAGATATGGCCTTTTCATTCCAAATTTTACAAGTGTGCAACAATAAGAAATATGGCTGATGACTCAAAGACTATAAGAAAACACACAAAAATTGAATCTTTCACTTGCCCTACTGTAGACAAATAATTTTGGTTTGATGAAATTTGTTGAGATAGATCTGTGAATTGAAGAGGATGAATTTCATATGCATGCTGTTCAGAATAAATAGTATCAAGGATATTAGCATGATTTATAAAAGTTTGATAACTTCAAATTGATTGAAATTTCTAAAAGCCATTTAATAAGATCTGCCAAATATTTAATTTTTGTCTCGTTGGCGTCAACAATTGTTTTCTGCAAAAGTTTGGTAGGAACTATTTGTGATAGATCAATAATATTTTCTATAAAGTTGCAATACATTCAGTACATCTCAGTTTGACAATCATGTTGAGGTGCCGCCCTCTATGTTATGGTCCTGCAACTTTGAATTAAATAGCAATGTTTCTGTCCATCAGATTGTCTTCTTCTGAATTATGTGCTGACAGGCACGACATATCTCTGTGTAAACAGTTTATTTATGTAAATGGTTGGTTCTTTTTTATAGGTAACAGTAATGACAGTATACAGACTATAAAGGAATACGAGAAACAGTTCTTCCAAAAAATCTAAATTATTCAAGTAAGTACAAATGGGATTTTCACATCATTTGTATGTAGAAGATATCTCTATAGTTTGCCTTAGTAAGGTGAAGGGTTATTAAGAAGGACCCAAAACATCCATATCTATGTGCAAAAACAATTTAGCATGCACTTTCAGATTGATAAATCAAAAAATTGATATGACATAATCATCTTATTTACATTGATATGTGACTTTCGAATGAAATTGCTATCTATTTTGAAATTATTCATCATATCATGAAGTATATTTCACTTCAAGTAGTTTGAAGAAAAAAATTCATGCTTTACTTACACTTACTAATTTTATTTGATGGTAGGAAGTAGCTGCCATAATCTCACACAAGCAACATACTTTCTATGGGTAATTTTTTATACTTCAAATAACCATCACACATTAAATTTTATAAAATTGACCTGAAGAAAGGAGTAGGGGCATTAAGGCCTTTTTTGGACCAAGAAAATTAAGTTTTGGAGAATTATTTTAAATTTTGCACATAATGTTTGTAAATGCATAAGATCAAGAAAAATAAATGGATTACACATGCATTTTGATGTTATGATGTTCAAAACAAGGATATTTGACAAAGATACAAATTTTAAGGCGAAAATAAACTTTAATTTCTAAACATTCTTGTACCTAAGTATAGTTAGGAAAAATTAAGGAATATGTATGGCAACTTAAAATATGCACTTATATTTGGGCCATATAAGGGCCTTATTGCCCTGACTACTTTTACTTCCATGACAAAAATTCTGTATACTTTCAATAGAATCTATTTTCATTTAAAAATGTCAGACTGCATATTTTTCAAAACATCTCCAAATAAAATATACATCATTTGCAAGTTGGACATACAGAAAAATGGCTTTAAATAACATAAATCTTTTCAAAATCCAATTGATTTAACTCATGAAGGAACTAAACTAAAGTCAACCCTGTATATAAAGGTCATCTTCAGGACCAGGAAAACTGGCAATATAAGAGAGGTGACCTTTGATGCATAAATTTAACTCTTATTGGACAAGAAGAGGTAGACAAGACAGATTTTGCTTTAAAGAGGTGACTTTTAAAGCCAGTTTGACATAAAATTACAATAATAATCAGCACACTTGTTTATTTTACAGAGATGGTGTGCTAAAACCAAGTACAACAAATACACAAAACCTTAGTATGTCTGTGTCAGAGTTATTCTGGAAAATGGTTAAAGAAACTGTGGAACAACAAGCTGATGCTTTTAAAGGTCAGTAATTACTATAAAGGGTTTCAATTGGAGGAGTTTAAATTTCATGATTTTTAATGCATAATCTGACTACAATGTTTTATTTTCATGTTTTTCTTGTTACTGTCTCTCATTTTCCTTATACATGAAATTTACAGGAAGGGGATATTTTTGCAATATTATCTTGATCATGAAATTAGTTAAAAAACTATCCTGAAAATTCTGCTTTACAGAATTAAATTGCATCATTCATGCATTACAATTTGTTTGAAGATTTCATATCTATTTTGAATTAATCAAGATAGATGTAGGGTATATTTTACTGAGACAACCCAACCAGAATACAAATAAAAAAATTATGTCTTGATAGATCTTGAATTTGGTGTAAGAGTATCCCAGCGGGCACATCAACGTTGCTTCAACGTTGAAACAACGTCATACTGAAACGTTGAATCAATGTTGAATTATAGGTTGAAAATGAAAGGTCATTTTAACGTTGAAAATACAACGTTGCATCAACGTTGAAAATTCATAGTTGATACAACGTTGAGAATGTTGATAATTAGTTTCTCTAATGTTTGTGCTATTTTCACATTTTTTGATCAGTGTGAGAAAAAATATTTAGTGAAATATCTGTTCTCTGCAAATGATTGGTTGAAATTTAATTATTACCTCAAAATTTCTTGGTTTCTTCTGAATTTTCCTAGTGTCACGACATGAAAAAAGGCGACCACACACTTTTTAGAGAAAAAGAAGATTGAAGGACATTTACTAAAATATTTGATTAGGATGAAAGTCAAATGCATATTCAGGACGAACATGAGAGCAGACATGCCAAGCAGGATTTTTAATGTACTAGCTCACTAACAGTTCACACATGTCACCTTACCCAGACACATTATTCTGGTCTAACCACTCCTAAATTCTGGTCTAACCACTCCTAAATGCTATATGTTTGGCGGAAAAGCGGCAAATACCAATTTTAAAATCTTTGGTTTGACCTAACCTGCCATACAATTATTTAGTCAATATAAGTCATTAAAAACAAGATGAATAGAGCATTTATTTATTTTGAGTATCTGGAATGAAATTTGAAATGTCCTCATCCTGTCTCTTTCTTTTTTCTTTCCTCCCTCCACCTCCGTGCCTTTCAGGGGCATATTTCAGGAACCTGGACATTTCACTCTTCATCCTAGTTTCTGTTGCTTCAACCGACTCAGGAAAGGACTCTGAGACACAATCTGTTTATAAAAAAACATAGTAACAATTAAAACACAGAAAGCCAAAAATTATTCATTTCACATAAAAGTTCATACAGCTACTGAGGATAATTAAAAATTAATGTAGTCTTGGAGTTGGTAAGGATGAACATAGTTTCTAATTTATTTTCCAGTGAATTTTGCGAGTTACTTGCTAATATAGAATTTAAAATAATGCAACTTACCAAGAATTATTGTGAACAACTTTGAGGCACCAAATGAAATTTTGCCATTTTTCCAGCTGATATTCAGTTTGGCCATCAAAGAATTATGGAGGACCCTGAAAAAAATATATGCATCTAAATAAAAAAAAATCACAATCAGATGTAAGATGTTTTTTATTTTACAGTTTACAATATGAAAATGCATCGAGTTTATCAAATAATTTTTACTAGACATCTTGGATGTTTTTGCTGTTAAAATTTGCTCGTTAATTTCAATTTCTACATGTTCTTTTCTTGCATTTGTAGTGTTAACTCTTTTCTAGGCTTGTAGTCTTTCCCTCATAATTTTTTGTTACCTGTTTCAAAATCATAGTTTCCTTAACTTATTTTTTTTAAGAAAATATAAAAAGGGTATAATCAGGATGATACAAGTACAATTGTTGAAAATGTTGTGTTTCCAAATCCATAGTTGTGATTAAATACGATACATTACTTTTAATATGATACTATTTACATATCCCTTTTAATTTTGGTAAAGTACAATAGAAAGGAGAAATTTACAGGAAAGACATATGTGGAAAACAAATGACAAATTAAACGGAACAAATATTAGATATCAAATTATATCGCAAACCTACGAATAACTTCCAATATTTAGATAAATCATCAGCTCATCCCGCCTCTGTATTTAAGGGATTTAAAATTGGCAAAGTTACACTGTTCATTCGATCATGTAATAACAAAGATGACCTCGACACACAAATCAAACTATTTAAACACAAGCTTATAATCAGGGGACAAAAGGAAAATGAAATTAATCCACTAGTTAATACAGGACTACGAAAAAGTAGGCAAAACAAATTATGTTATAAAACAAAAAACAAACAGAAAAGTCCACCACTAGTCATAGCAACAAAATTTAATCCTTTATTTAAGCAGTTGGGAAGACGAATAAGAAAACACTGGCATTTGATTGAAGATGACGAGACCGCTAAACATCTATTTCCAAGACCGCCTATCATTGCTTATCGTAAACACAAGAATGTGAAGGAGTACTTGATCTCGGCAAAATTATAATGTAATTAAATAAAGAATGGACATTAAACTATAAGTGTATTACAGATTCATCAGGTGTAGTGCCCCCAAAATGTAACTGCATTTGATACATTACACGATAGAAACATATTGATAACAAATAAAAAGTAATTATGATCAAATGTTATAGTAAATAAAAATAAATTAGGCCAGGGCACCTGACAAGGATGAACGGCCTTGGTCGAACTTGACCTAAATGATATCCGAAACACCAGGTGTAATATCATCAAATTAAAGAAATTCATAGACGACCAGTTGATTACCACAGATCATTTACGTTGGGGAAAATCCTTTAAAAAATAAATAGATGTGTAAAAGTTTATAATTAACCACAGAACAATCTACCGAGAAAAGGTCAAATCAGGTTTTAACAGTTAAAGATAATATATATAATTTAAAGTAAATATACATAAGCAAAACATGCTATATATATGAATCACTAAATCATGCACAAACAGAGCAATAACAGAATAAACCTGTAATTGAAGACAAACATTTAAATGCATATAAAATTGCATATAAAGTATAAACAGCGATACATGGAAAATCATTATAGAAACTCGATACAGACAAGAAATAAAATCTCCTATAGACAATGGTATTAGTAAGTTTTGCTGGGATTGGTTCATGGACACGACTATTTATAAAAATAGGTACAACCAGAATGTCAGGGCCACCCTTTCATGGGATCATTTGGTTTATATACATATGGAGCAGCCTCCCCCCCCTTTTTTTTATAAAAAATACTGGATACGACACTGGAAGTGAATGTCAGGCCTTCAACTGTTTTATATGCACCTGTTAATTATAAATAGCCTATAGGTATGTGCTCAGAATCAATTAGTAAATACTTTTTTATGGGTAAACCACGTGTTCATGTACCATGATGTAGGCACTGCATGGATTTATATTCATGTACGATCTGTTGATAGAAACACAAGTGCGTATGTACTTAAAAATTTGTAACAATAAAATAACGTACAGATTGTTCACTTCTGTGTTCTTGTCTCATGCTACCCTCTGCCATCGCTGTTAACGTTGTAGAATAGTTTTTTCTTGTTTCAGTTTCTCTCGAGTGGTAAACAAATGTTGTTTCTTTGAATAAGGCGCTAATCGACATGCACGAACTTTCGGAAGCATTTCCGTGATATTCCGAGTAGCAAAGTTTTAAGAGCGGGAAAAGTTTAAAATTATTATTTCAAATAAATATATATATATCTCCGTAAATTTGTTTTATTTTAAATCATTACAATGGTTTGGATATTGTTATAACCCTTTATATGGAAGAAATATATTTTATTTTGTAGAAATGATTATCAGAAAACATGCAAGGTTCATTGGCGGATCAAAAAGGAGAAAGGGGAGGGGGAGGGTACGGTTCTGGTGGTTTGGCCTTTTCTGGGAAAAAATTGGTTGATTATATAGGGAATCTCTGAAGCTTAACCGGAGCGGGCCCCTCTTAGACAGTCAGATGGCCCCACTTATGAAAATTTCTGGATCCGCCACTGACAAATACATTTATCGTCCAAAAAAAAGGGGGGAGGGGGGTTCCAACCCCCAATCCCCCCTCCCACTTGATCCCACTGCCTGCTTCAATTTCCAAACTTAATTCATTAGTAAAACAGATTTGAATAGTTGATTAATGCATATCATATATTTCATATATATATTGGTTCAACGTTGAAAAAGTGACGTTGAATCAACATCAACTTTCTGTTAAAATTTCAACGTTGAAAAATAAGACGTTGAATCAATATCAACTTTCTGTTGAAATTTCAACGTTAAATCAACATCAACTTTCTGTTGAAATTAAGACGTTGAATCAACCTTGAATTGTGGTTAAATATTCGACGTTGAAAATAATTACGTTGAATCAACGTTGAACGTTGAAGTCAACCAAAATTCAACGATTTTTCAACGTTGAAACAATGTCATGTGCCCGCTGGGATATGTTTTATGACCTGTATAAGTGTTAGTTGTTTTTAACTTTCAAGGTAACAAACTATTCAAAAGAGAAAATCTATAAAAAAGTTAAATCACAAAAATACTGAACTCAGTGGAAAATCCAAAACAGAAAGTCCCTAATCAAATAATTTATACTAATACAATAAAAGAAATTTAAGTACAACAGTCAGCAACTGGATTACAGGCTTCTGGCTGAGGCTCAACCCTCCTGATCTGGGACAGTGGTAAAACAACACAACATAACATAGAACTGTAAAAAACAGTTAGGGCTTGTCCTACCAGATTGGTACTTAGCACAAAAACAACTAACTACAAGACGAAGTGATATAAAGACAAAAGTCACAAAGAACCTTTTGTTTGTTAGTTAAAATTACTACCAGGTAGTGAAAAATATTGATATGAAGTTTTATTTGTAGTCAATTTTCAAACTTTTAAAAACTTAAAAGAAAAAAAATAAAGTGTGAAACCATTGTCTGAAAAGGAACTCATACATCAATGGTAAAATAATGATTGCTTTCAAATGCCATTTATAAATATTTCATGAGTATACTTTGAATTGCAGCTCAAAGATTTAATTTAGAAACAGAATGGAAGAATACATTCCCAAGGTTACGAGAATTAGATAGGGTTAGTATTATTTCTGAATGAAATTGACTTAAATTACTGATAAAGACATCTCATGTTATTACTTAGGGAAAAAAAGTAAATCAAGACAAAAATGACACAACCACACAAACTAAAAAACAACTTTTGAATGAGTACAGATGTAATGGTCATCGCTTGAGATGCTATGAAAAATGATTCTCTGAATGTTCTTTTAGTGAAAATGTACTTGATGTGGAATCTTAAATTCATTGTTTAAGACCTACTTGATGAAAATTTTCATGTTTACAGTATTGGACAAATCAAATGCTTTGAATTATATGTATGTCTTTAAGCATACATCATTGGCCTCTGTGGCCGAGTGATCTAAGTAGTCTAACTACTTTCTAACTAGCCTGTCAATACTGACTCCAATCTTAATTGACTAGGATTGTCAGTTATCCTACTGAAGGTCGTGGTTCTCTACAGGCACTACAGCTTCCACCAATAAAACTGACCGCCACGAAATAGCACAATATTGCTGAAAGTGGCGTTAAACACCAATCAATCAATCAATTAAGCACACATCAGATGTCAATGATTTGTAGTCCTATTTCAGAAGTTTCACTATATGTATTTATATTTTATTGTACTGTTACATCTTTCTTCATTATCACTATTTTTCATTACAGACGGAGCTATTTGAAAAAGCTAAAGGGGAGATTTTAGATGAAATAATCAACTTAAGTCAAGTTACAGCAAAAGAATGGTAAATCACTTTTACACATGTAATTTATTCATTCTAAAGGTCTTATGAGATAACTGAGCTGTGAAGCAAAATATAACTATTTATTTCATGCAAAATAAATGTAGCCTTATGTTTGTTGCAATACAAAAAAATAACCACTTGTTATGCAATAAACATCCACTGAAAATGAGTTGTATTTTAGACAAAAGGCTCATGAAACAACTGCATTTGTATTGTTGTTGTCCACTTTTATCAAAAAAGACTTGGGGCCTTGTTGGCTGAGTAGTTCAACTACTGTATCACTAGCCGGTCAACACTGCGGTTGTGGCAGGTGCACTTGACTCCACTCTTAATTGACAATTGACAATGATTGTCAGTTTTCCTGCGGAAGGTAGGTGGTTCTCTCCAGGCACTATGGATTCCTCCACCAATAAAAACTGACCGCCATGAAATAGCCAATAGTGCTGAAAGTGTTGTTATTCACCAATCAATCAATCATCAACAATGACTTAATCATCATTATTAGAAGAAATATTCTAAGTATTCAAATTGGGCTACCATTCTTAGCCTCTGCATAATTGTATTATAAGAAGGTGCTATAATAATACATTGATTGAATTCTTTACTCCTTTTATATGTTGTAGAAAGATAAACATATAAATATTCCAAAATATTTGTTCATAACACTTGTATAATATCTACCTAAGTACCTGTGACATAGTTTATTGAATTATTTAACAAAAGTTAACAAATTATTTCTGGTATATATTAATGTTGTTTTGTTTTTGCAGGGAGGATGCATTTTCTAAGAAAATTTGGGATAAGAATGCACCTTACATGTTTGAGAATATTTATCTACCTGCTGCACAGACACAAAACTTAGGGTAATACTGGCTTTTACTTTTTAAGGCTATATAAAAAAAAACATATTAAATCCTTTGCAGCTATATAACAGATGGTGATAGCATTTGAAAGGTATAAATTCTTCACAAAGAAATAAAAGAGAAAAGAAAAGCACGCATACTAGCTTATGAACTTGATTGTAATAAATGCTGGAATAGTTGTTTTACAAGAACATGTAATACAGTTTTTATAGACAAATCTTGAGTTGTTCCATAAAAATGAGTTACTTATTTGACTAGGATTGTCGGTTTTCCTATCGAAGGTTGGTGGTTTTTTCCGGGCACTCCGGCTTCCTCCACCAATAAAAACTGGCCGCCACGAAATAGTCCAAAAAGCGGTGCTTAAAAGTGGGGTTAAAACACCAAAAATCAAAATCAAATCTTCAGAGAAGCACACATACCATCTTTAGGCTTGTACACATACTTCCTAAAACCATTAAATTAAATATCCTCGTAAATACAATTTCTCCTCAATTTATGAAAATTATTATGAATAATATGATAACTATCTGGTGTATTGGTTTTTGCCAGGTCTACATGTCCATCAGACAGGGTTCACCTGACCTCAACCTCATTTCATGGATTATTGGTCCAGGTTAACTTTTTTTGGTCAAACCATATCTCAGATACTGTAAGAAATAGGTCAACCATATTTGGTGTATGGAATGATTGTAAATTTGACCTAATTTTCATGGTTCATTAGTCAATGTTAAGTTTTTATGGTTTTGTTTGTATATCAGATAATATAAGCAATAGGTCAACTATATTTATTGTATGGAAGGATTGTAAGATGCACATGTCTGCCTGGCAAGGTTCATCTGACCTTGACCTCATTTTCATGATTCATTAGTCAATGTTGAGTTTCATTTGTTTACTCCATTAATCAGATACTATAAGGAAGACGTCAACTACATGTATATTTGGTTTATAGAATGATTGCATAGTGTTCATGTTGTCTAGCAGTGTACATCTGACCTTGACCTTGTTTAAATTGATCATTGATTATTTGAAGTTTATGTGATACTTGTAGTAAAACCTTCATATAACACACTTTCAACATAAATTCAATCATGATAAGTAAAGCAGGCTATACATTTCAGCGTTTGCACTTTTATTTTTAGTCCCCTACCTACCTAAGGGGACTTTAGGTTTGCACTCTGTCTGTCTGTCTGCCTGTCCATCCATTAGTCCGGCAAATCAGTTTTCCACACTTTTTTGCTTTGTGCTTGAAGATATTGATTTGATATTTGGTTTATTGTTTTACCATGACAAGTTACAGATCATGTTCGAATTTTTTGTTCCGGTTTAATGATTTTGTGCAGAGTTATGGTCCTTGGACTTCGAAAATTCAGTTAAATAATCATTTTTCTTAACTTTTTTTCGTCATGCTTGAAGATATTGACATGATATTTGTTATATACTTAACACCATGACAAGTTATAGATCAATTTAGCAGTTTGTTCCAGTACAATGAATTTTTAACCGATAGGGGACTATGTATTGCCATGCTATACTCTCAGAATGCTTGTTTAAGTTTATTTATTGATATAATCTATTATATGTTAACAACACAGTATAAAGATTTTTCCTATTTCAGAGAATTAAATACCAATATTGATGTAAAATTAGCAAAATGGGCATCTAATGTACTACCCAAGAAATGTGTTGAGGTAAATACTTTGTTTCACATATGTAATAGTTAATGTTATTAAGTTAACATTACCATTTTTCAGAGTAAGCCTGCAAACCATTTCAAAATACATTTTAGAAGATATCAATTTACATTTTGACAGATTTTGCAGTTTTTGCTTACATGTACAACCTTTAAGGATATAACATAAATACAAAAAATAAATCAATAGGTGAATAAATTATAACCATTGATTTTTTGTCTCTATTAAACCATGATATGTAAATCAAGCTAAATAATACTGTTGATTTTACTGGTATATGTTTGTTGTTTAAAGGTTGGATGGGATACACTTCATG